TCAGGAGCTTTTTTTTTTTTTTTTTTTTTAATAAATCATTGGTACTGGGGATTGAATCCAGGGCATCACACATTTTTGGCAAGTACCTTAGCACTGAGCTATATCCCTATCCTTCTCTATTTTTTTTTAAATTTTTATTTTGAGACAAGATCTTATTAAATTGCCCAGGCTGGCCTCAGACTTGCAATCCTCAACCTCTGGAGTTAATGGAATTACCAATGTGCACCACCACACCCAGGTCCAGAACTTTTTGAAAAATCTCCAGGCGCTGCTCTAAAAACAGCTGACTCTTCTCCTACCCCAACCTAGAGCCTCCCAGCAGGACTGGAATACTTCTCTAAGCCGGGAATGCTCTTCCCCCATCTGCCCTGGCAGTCCTGACTGCCAGCAAGTGGCTGTGTGGCTTGGGATTGTATCTCCTTGAGATCAGGTCCTGGGTCCCCCCACATACTTCCAGCGCCTCCCCAGCCAGCTCACCTGCTCCTGTTCTATCCGGCACATGGAATGGATGGCATTCAGGTTCCACAGGCTGCCCCCCGAGGTGGACACGAACACCAGCTTTGCGTAGCTCTTCTCTGCAATATACCCCCTTGGAACTCAGCTCTTTGGCACCAGGTCCAGGGCCCACCAAAGAGATGATGCCTCCCCGGGATCTCTGAGAGTCAGATCCCCAGGAGCATGCTCCTGCCTCTGTGTCCTGAACCCTCCCAGCTTGACCTGGCCTGCCTAGAGCAGAACGCCTTGCTTCCTCCCCCAGTCATGGCCCAACCTCCTTGGCTTGAATGTGGCTGGCTGGCTGCCTTCTCTTTCTGTCTGCCCATCCTACGTGTAGGGGGGCAACCACCACTGAGGCCAGGTCTGATCAGAGTGTAGCTTACCAGGAGCGCCACAGAAGAAGCTGTCCTGCCCTTTGTCCTCCATAGGCTCCACCATCCTGCGTGCCCGGACCAGGCTCTCCTGGGCCCTGCCCCAGGCTGCAGGGCTCAGAGTGCCGAAGGAGTTCGAGCTGAGGTGGAGAGGGTGTCAGTCCTGTGCACCCATAGGATGAGCCAGGCAGGCCCTCTGACCTGCCTTGGGAGGTCACTCGATGCCCCCCACCCCAGAAATCTTGTTCTTTCTCCCTTTCCCACCCTCAGCAGAAAGATGGGAACTTGTTACCTGTTTGGCTCGAGGTCTGGGGAAAGGGAAAGCAGTTTCTTGGGGCCTGTGAAGGCCTGAAGTGCTTTCCAGACCTCTAGCTTCCGCCCGATGTCTGTGTCCCGAGGCTCAAAGCCCTGCATGGAGGAGGGCAAAGAGTAGATGGGGAGAGGAGTTCTCCACTGGAGCCCTCCCCAGGTCTGCCCCTTTGTCCCCTGCCTGTGTGGGTGTGATGTCTAGACCATCTCTGCAACTTTCTGGAGGTTGGGAGCCCAGTATTGCTACCATACTCTGGGCTGGGCCAGCTCTGCGCCCGACTGAGCTGCAGTGTCCAGGCCTGGGGACCCCTCCTCCCCTCAGCCTCTCACCAGTAAAGGATTGGAGAAGTCAGGCAGCTGGCTCCCCAGCAGTCCAGCCAGGGCACAGAGGAGGAAGACAGCCAGGCACACAAGCAGCACGACCACTGGCCACTCAGCAATCAGCTGGGAGAAGCTGGGGAAGATGGAGGGAGCTGTGAGTTGGTGCCAGTGTGCTAAGGAGGGTGGGGAGCTTGGGGCCCACCAAGAGGAGGGTAGGTCAGAGAATACATGGAGTGGCCAGCCTAGGAGTTCTGCTGAGGCCCTGGCCTACCTCTTTGGCATCCGGAAGGCTCGTTCCTGCCTGTGGAAGAGAAGAAAAGACATCTGCTTGCTAGAGTCCTCTTGGGTGTTTGTGTGTGTGTGTGTATGTGTGTGTTTGTGTAGACATGGGGGGTGAGGGATAAAGGGTAAGAACACCTTTTAGAGCTTTGCTACTTCCAAATTCCAGCTCTCTTCTTCGCCTATGCAGGCTGCCTCTTCCAGAAGAGGCAGGGAGCATCCATACTGCCTCCTAAGAAAGGCATTTGAAACCCCAGGGGTCTGCCCACTTTTAAGTCCCATTCTACCTTCCAGGGGCAGCTGGCAGGATGCAGGACCCTCTTACCTGACACTGACCACATGACGCTGTACAGACGGTGGCTTCCAGACCCCGTCACGCTGGGAAGAGGCTGGAGAAGGACTTCGATTGGAGCTGTGGGAGCACAGAGCTGCCTGGTCTCCAGTCCCTAGTAATGAGCTGCCTTCTTGGTATTCTTGAGGTGCTCGAGGATAGGCGAAATGGCCCGGGGCTAACGGGCCAGATGGGTCTAGAGCTTGGAGGGTGGATGTAGGTGCAGGTCCTGAAGAGCCAGAAGGGTCCTCCAGGGGGCAGCTGTGGAGGGAGCAGCTTCTTTCTGGGCTTGCCTCAGGGGCCATGGCCTTGGTCTGGGGCCTGGGAGAGAGCAGCAGGAGTGGGGTTGGTGTGGGTCACATTGCAGAATTGTCCAGTAGGGCTAGAGAAGGAGATGAACTCCAGGACCATGTTATTACGAGTCCTGGGGGAGAGGTGAGGCAGGGAGGGCCTCGATCTAAGTCCCCAGCCTGCCTCTTGGGTTCATCCTCTTACCCACTTATCCATCCATGCTCTCAGAAATGTCATTGGTAGCTGCCACATGCCAGACACTGCCTGACAGCAAATGGGCTTTTACACACACAGTCTCATGTACTCCTTATAAAAACCCCACCAGGGACTTATTTCCTTGCTCTATAGATGTGGAAACAGGTTGAATGAGAGGTGAAGATCCAGACCTTGAACCCTGTACTTCTGACTTGTAGCTCTGCATTTTTTTTCTGCTACCATTGGCTGTTATTTTCTCTTTTCTTTCTTTCTTTTTTATTGTTTGTTTTGTTTTTGCAGTACTGAGGATTGAAGCCAGGGTCTTTGCACTGAACTATATCCCCAATCCTTTTTATTTTTAAATTTTAAGACAAGGTCTCACGAAGCTGCTAAACTGCCCAGTCTGAGCTTGAATTTGTCATCCTCCTGCCTCCGCCTCCCAGAGTGCTGGGATTATAGGTGAGCACCACTGTGTGTGGTGACCTGTTCATTCTCTTGACGGGCATCATTAAGCACCTGCTGCACTTTTGTTCCCATCCTAGTTTTTGGTTGTTCTCTTCTCTCTGCCTGGTTGCTCCTCCCCCAGATAGTTGCCTGGCCTATGTGTTTGTGTTTCTGTGTGTGGTATGTGTTTATTTATTTTTTTTAAACTCTGATTTCTATGCATCTATGACTTCTCAGAGAAGCCTTCCTTGACTTGAATCACCCACCAACTCTATCCTGTTACCCTGCTTGATGTTCCTTTGTAGCATTGCCGCAACCGGATAATAAAGCGTACAGCTGTTTCTTGCCTCTCTCTCGTGTAGAATGGGAGGGCTTGAAGGCAGAGGCCTGCTGCATTGCTCATCTCTGCCCCCAGGAACTTGCATGGTGCCTCGCACACAGAAGGCACCCTGGTGTCTGCTGAGCAAAACAGCACCAGGCTGCCACAAAGAGTGGTGCTGAGATGAGCAGACCCAGCACTTACGCTGCAGCACTTGCTGTAGCTGGGAGATGTGGACCATCCGAGATGTTGGTTTGTTGAGAAAGGGAAACCCTGTCGTGGCCTGTGTGTGGAGCAGAAGATGTACTTTACAGGGGTGTTCGCGGGAAGGGGTCTGCAGAATCCTCTCCCACAACTCCCTCTCAAGGCAACACCCTGCACAGACTTAGCCCTGATCTTGGGCCCGGTCCCACCCCATGGGAGGAAAAGATGACAAAGAACAGAATGCCAGGGCTGGTCACCTGGCAGAGCCCTGTCCTCATGGCTTACCCAGCCCTCCAGAGCTGGCATGGCCCCTGTAGGAGAGCCAGGTTGATGTGGAGCCAGCCTAGCTTCCAGTCCTGCCTGTTGCACTGCTGAGGGTCATGGGCCACAGAGGCAGGCTGACATTATCCACCAAGGCTGAGCTTTGCCCTCAGACCGGGCAGAGGAACTGGAAAGAACAGGCAGGCTCTGTATCTTCTTCCAGATGATGGCCTGCTGGCCCAGGCATTTGGGAAAGAGTGACCCTCATATTGAGAGTAAAACTGGGGAGCAGTCAAGGGGGGCTACTGGTTCTGTCACCTTTTAGATCTAGGGAAAGACTAATGATATTGAATCAGTGGCATCCTTGTCTGTTGCAGATATGATGATAAAATGCACCACTTGGAGTTTTTTGTTGTTGGTTTTTTAATTTTTTTTTTTTGAGACAGGGTCTCTTGCTATGCAGTTAAGGCTGGCCTTGAACTCACAGGGATCCTCTTGTCTCAGCCTCCCAAGTGCTAGGATCATAGGTGTGTATCACCACACTTGGCTGTTGGTTTTTGAGACAGGATCTTGCTATGTAGTCCAAGCTGGCTTTGAACTCACTGTGCAGCCCAGGCTGGCCTCAAACTTGCTGTGATCCTCCTGCCTCAGCTTCCTGAGTGCTGACATTATAGGTATACACCACCTCACCTGGACCACCTTAGTTTTTGTTTGTTGTTTCTTCCTGCTCCCTCTCCCCCTGAACCCAGGCAGTACTACATCTCCAATCCTCTATATCCTTTTAATTTTGAGACAGGATCTTGCTAAGTTTCCCAGGCTGAACTTGAACTTGTGATCCTCCTGCCTCAGCCTCCTGAGTAGGTGGGATTACAGGCATGTGGCACCATGCCAGACTCACCTCTCAGTTTTGCTATGTCAACTGACTCACGTACCATATGTGAGGTGCCTGGCATGGAGCTTGCCGTATAGGAGACACATTCGCTTTTCTGCTCTTATTGACACCCATTACTGGGAGAATATGCTTTAAAAAGTGTATTTGTATTTATACTTTGTCCTCTTTGGGCACCTCAGGCAATAGCTCCAAGACCTTACACCTTAAGATTCTTACTGCATAGTTACAAGTACTTTTGCCATCCAAAAGCTGCATGGAAATTTGATCTCATGGTTTAAATACTTATCTTTTACTAACTGACCATTTACAAAATTAGGAATTAGACCAAATTTGTTCTGAAGCCAGACCTCAGATAACTCCATAAAATTGATGACCTAAGCGGCCAGTGTTCTGGCAGCTGAAAGGCCACTCTCCTGGCAACTGAAAGGCCACTCTCCTCAGGCTGAAGAAAAACTGGGTGAATGGCCCGGTTACGGCGGAGAAGTGAAGATGTCTACTTTTTCAAACTGTTGACTCTGTAGCCCTTCTCTTGGAGCAGTCGTCATTGCTAAGCGCTGTGCTCAGTCTGGGTGGGTCCTGAAGGGATGACAAGCATGGTCCTCTGGGGAAGCCAGAATGAAGAGGGTCCTACTGCAGCCTTTCCATTGGAGGTTTTAGAGCACCAAGCACCGGGCTTGTCCTAGGAGCCAGGGCCCGACTTGAGGTGTCAGGGACATCAGGGGAGGCCAGCAAAAGTGGAAGCCCCTCCCTGCTAATCCTCCTAAGCCTCTTCCCTGCCTTAGTTGATTCCTGTTCAAAGGGATTTGGTGAGCTGGGCATGGTGCCTGTAATCCAGCACTCAGGAGGCTGAGGCAGGAGGATCACAAGTTCAAGGCCCGCCTGGACTACATAGCAAGACCCTGTCTCAGAAAACAAACAAACAGGGGCTGGGGATTTAGCTCAGTGGTTCTGCCACCTGCCTTGCAAGCGCAAGAACCTGAGTTCCATCCCCGGTACCAACAAACAAACAGACAAACATAAATAAAAGGATTTGTCTTCCCTCGTTGGTCTGCTTCTGTCAAGGTCTCCCTGGCCTCACTCTTACCCTTCAGCCCCTTCTGTTCCTCTCCCAGGATCCAGGACTGGCTTCTCCCCAGCTTACCTTTCCTGTCTTACCAAGTATGGCAGAATTTGATCACCCCTCCCATCCCTACTGCTGTAAAGCTGGGCCTTTGTCTCAATTCTTCCAATGAAAAGAGCCAAACTCCACTCTTTTCAGAATAAAATCTTTTTTTTCTGCCAGTCCCAAGCTGCCCTCCGCTCTCAGGGGACCTGATAATCACAGGAGTTAAGCTTTCCAGTCCTCGGTTCCCCAGGGGGCTTTGTTCTCCATTGCTTGGTTTTATGACCCTGCTGGTATGAATAATTTCCTAGGATGCCTGCCTGGCCTGCTGGCCTGTAAGTGACAGAGGCAGACAGGCAAGGAGGAGGACGAAGAGTGGTGACACTAGGCTTGCTCTGGAGGCCAACATCCCTGCAATCAGGGCCTGCCTGACAGGGTGGCAGACACAGAGCCCCAGCATGGAAATCCCAGAAGGGGCAGCTGTGTATGTGTATTAACCCTGTCCCCCAAACCCCCATTCGCAGACCATGGTCATCTGGACATCTGTGTAATCCCACAGAGTAGCCAGGACAGAAGGGGAACAGCTCCCATCATTAGAAAAATAAAGAGGTAATTAAAAAAAAAAAAGAATTAACTGTTTTATCTGAGTATGGTGGTACATGATAGTAATCCCAGAATTATTAACAGGCTGAGGCAGGAGGATGCCAAGTTTGAACCCTGTCTGGGCAACATAAAAGCTGAGACCCTGTTTCAAAATTTAAAAGTGGGGAGGGAGCAGGGATACAGCTCAGCAGTACAGTGACTGCCTGGCAAGTGGGAGACCCTGAGTTTGATTCCCAGCATCAAAAAAATAAAAAATAAAAAATAAACTAGGATTAGAAGTCCCATTTGACACAGCTATTTCCCTGCTGGGTATCTTCCCAAAAGAATTAAAAGAATCATACCATAGTGATATATGTGCAACCATGTTTATAGTGGCACAGTTTGTAATAGCTAAAACTTGGAAACAGCCTGATTGCCCATCAACTGAAGACTGGATAAAGAATTTGTGTTTTCAGTTTTTTAAAAAAATAAAATGGAGTACTACTACTCAGCCATAAAGAATGAGAAACTAGAGACAGAGAGACATTTATAGCTAAATGGATGAACACTGAGGCCATACTCTTAAGTGAAATAAATAATACACATGTGTAAACACCAAACAGTTTTTCTGGTGTGAGAAACTGAAAGTGTAAATAAGGATCAAAATATATGATAGATGTGAAATAGGAAGAAAAGGGCCAATGAGGAAGGAGAAGAAAAAAAAAAGGCTTGGTTAGGGTTCAATACTGGAAAAAAATGGATTAATCATCTCCAATTTCTATCTAATCAGTACACTTGTACAAGATTGTGGAGTAGCTGGGTACAGTGATGGGTGCCTATAATTCCAGCGATGTGGGAGGCTGAGGCAAGACTACTATGTGGACACCGGAGTTTGAGGCCAGCCTGGGCAATGAAGCAACACCCTAACTAAAAACATAAAATAAAACTGGGGCGGGAGTAGGCTGGGGATGTAGCCCCATGGTACACTGTATGTGATTTATATGTGGGGGTCTGGGTTCAATCCCCAGTAAAAGGAAAAAAAAAGGACTGCCTCCCCCCTCCTTCTTTGCTCCACTTTTCTTCCTATCTGTTTTCGTTGTCTTATTCACTGGGAATGTATTCCCAGAGTGCTACTTAGCTCAGCAGGAGCATATCTGTATTTCTTGAATTGAAATGAGCCATGTTGCTAAGCCTGCATAATATCTGTGGTCTTTGGAGGGAAGGGCAGAGAGGCCAGCGTTCCCCAGGGAATTGCTAGACCAGAACAAGTGGTTCCTGTGCCCAGGGGAAATGAATAAGACCAGACAGTGCTGATCCTTGGCAAGATATGCCAGACAGAAAATGACTCCCCAGCTCCTCTACAGATGCCCCTGACTCTGGGCCCCTACTGTGCCCTGTCTTTTTCTGGCTAGGCTGTAGTTTCAGTTTGGCCCCCCATGTGGGGAACATACCTATCCTGTGTCTTATCCTCTTGAATAAGAAGGTTCTGTGCCTTTCAGACTGGTGTATTAGCAAGCGATGGAAGAAAACATTTGTCTGTACTTGTGGGTCTTTCTCTTCCCACTGAGGTACAAAATGTACATTTTAATTGAGGAGATCTGAAGATAATGTGTCCATCTCTGCTTCTTTGCTCAAAAAATGTCTTTTCTTTCAGTTCAGGCAGGACAGAGAGGCAATGTCGTGTCAGGGGAGAGATTCTAGGGGCAGCAGAGCCAGGCGGGCACAGAAATTGCGCCATCTTGCTACCTGGCTGGGCTGTTCATCACGCATATGGTGCAAGAAGGAAGAGAACAGGCACCCGGATCTGGAGAAGGGTCCTCAGGAGGAAGGTGTCTTTCCTGTTCCACCAGCCTGAGGTTCTTTCAAGGGTCGTCCTGACCTCTGCCTGAGCTCAGAGCCTGCCCATGATAGCAGCTCCAGTGAGTGCCAGTGGCTGCCACACTCAAGGACTCAAATCAATACATGCACACCTGGGACCAGGCAGGCCAGGCAAGCAAACGATGGTGATGGGCAGGCAAGCAATGACAGTGATGGACAAAGACATTTCCGATGTAGCTGCTGAATGTCTGCGCCTCCCTCCCAGGACACCCGCCTTGGTCCATGCGCAACCCCGTGCACACTGACACGCTGGCTCAGACTGACGTCTCTGCGGTCTGGGGCCTTCTGCGAAGACGCAGAGCAAAGCCTACAGAGAGGGGCTGTGAGGCCAGGGGAAAGGGGAAACCGTAGTCCTAGAGGAAAGGTAGGAACAGGGGCGGGGCAGGACCCCAGACCCTGAGGGCGACTGGAGGAGACACTAGGGAGTGTCGGGGGAGCGAGAAAATTATCTTGGCAGGATGAAGGCGAACTGACCACCCCTGCCCCCTGCCCAGGAAGGGGGTTTGGGAGAGAATGGGAACGAATGGAGTGACAGATGGCGACCACTGAGGATACCTGGAGCAGGGGTGCTGAGAAGATCTTCGAACCGGCTCTGCGGTGAGGTCCTTCCTACCTGTCTGGGGAGCTGCTGTTTAGGCCTAAAAGATCAACCTTGGGCCGCAGCTCCCCTTTCGAACGCGAGCTAGAAGACGGATTGCTGCAGCAGCTGCGGCTACTCTACCACCGTCCATGCCCGTGGGCGGCGCCGCTGTCCGAGCTCTGGTGCTGAAGCAGCGGCAGCGGCGAGCTCGTGCGCACGCGTCAGTACCAGCAGCCTGTCGCTGGGCGGAGCCGATGGGGAGTTTAGCCAATGAACGCGAGACCGTGGTGGGCGGGACCCGAAGCTTCCAGCGGCGCCGTCGCAAAGGGCCAGGGGCTCGCTGTCACTATGGCGGCGTTTGTGGCCCGCTGAGGGGAGGGGGAGCTGGGCGCTCTGGCTCCCGCAGTTCCCTCGGCTCCTCTTGGCGTCCTCCTCTCCTCCCCAGCGGTTGTTGGGCTTCTGTTCAAGATGGGTCGTTCTTCCTGTCCGTTTGTCGTTGTCCGGGGTCTGCGTCTGTCCGCGGGGG